ATCCAGTCTTTGGAGGCCTAGCGGCCCGTCTCATGTTAGTATCCGGAATCAGCACATTCGATTACCTATTGTTCACTAAGTTTTAAGCTAGAAGCGATTTATCACTTGGTGTCCTTTCCTCGTAAGTGATGAAGTATTACTTCCAGTGAAGAAGTATTGTCACTTAAAGTGAGAGACACTTCAAAGTGTGCAGCAAAACCAGAGGTTATTTCCCCCTTGGTTATTGCTCACCGGACCTCAGGGCCCTGAATATGAGAAGATGGTGTAGAAGGAACATTAGAATTAGAATTTGACAAATGAGAGGCGTTCTTGATTGGGGAATCGAAAGAAATGAGATCAGAATTAGTGTGAGGTGCTTTTGTCAATGAAATATCAGGAAAGAAATTCGAAACAACATCATCAGTTAACTTTTCAACAATCAGAACGATCTCTTGATCGATGTCGTTATGAACGTCAAATGAACTATCCAGTTGTCCAACAAAATATTATTTACTTATATATGCATGTCTATTCATCATATCTACACTTACAGTTGTTATATTTGATATTTCATACTGTTGTTGTTTTTCGGGACGTCTTCAGTTGAAACAATAAAGAGTCATTAAGATCAATTGCTGTATCATACATCTACGATTTATTTATCATAATTACATTCTCATATAGTTTATAAACAAAACAAAAGTTTGACGACTAAACTGCAAAATATTAACAGTTAATACTTCAGTTTTTGATGCTGATCCCAAATATGACATTGGTTTTACAAAAAATGAAAGTTAAACGGTGAAAACTGCAAAATACAAGTGAACTTCCTTGTTTTTTACGATCTTTTCAAAAAAATTTATTTTTCTCAACAACAGAACAATTCCAAAATCGATATATGACCTTTTTGGTGCTATTATGGCGAGTCGAATGATATAAAAATATTGGCTTCATCTCGTATCTAGAGAGACTTGAAGCTTTTTGCTCTAACATGAACGAGATTTTGGGTATTGGCGAAAAACTAAAGGTTTTTAAGATCATACCATACTTGAACAGTATGAAAATGCTATTTTTCAGATTCAGTTTTTTACGGAGAACAAGAATTAATCGTATTCAAGTTTTACGTTCGTTTTTAAAAAATAAGCCGTTTTTTAAAATTTTAAAATATTTCGACTTTTTAAATTTTCGACATTAAAATTTTGATTTTGAAGGTTAAAACACACATATTCTTATTCAGCTCGACGAGCTTTATCCAACCATGTATAAATATCGCAAAAATAAATGTTGCTTAAGTTTTGAATATCCGGCGCCTTACAAATAAGCGTCATAGTTGTACACTTCTTCCCTCTTATTATTGTTAGTCTCTCCTTTCTTAATCTATATATCTTGGAATTAACACAAATTATTGTAACCCAATAAGGATTATGAAATTAAAAGTTCCAAATATCATAGTCAAAGAATAGAATTTAGTCGAAGCAAGATTCAAGCACTAAATCAAATATACCAATAAAATAATCGAATTTGGAATTAACACTTCTAGTGCTTGTAATTTGCTTTAATGTTATTGTTGTTTGCTGATCGATATGTATATCTAAGATAGAAAGAAAAAGAAAACAAATACTTACACCCATTCAGAACTGCTTTGTTTGGTGCACATTATTAATAAAATGTTATGCAAAAGGAAATACGTTCTTACCGATATCATTTTTTTCTTCGCCATGAAAGTAGAGCTGTGTCACCAATGGTTTATATCCATGTGATTGTACATAGTAATGAATATGTGGATATCTCCAAGTTGAATCATCTGTATCGAAATACGGCACAGGTTCAACAGTTTCAAATTGATATCGTCCATCTTCATCTGTTACTAATCTTGCACGATAATCATAGTTTGTAGATAGACCATGCGTATTTACTTCTTCATGATATGGATAAACTTTGTTGGGATCAGGTTCGTGATAATCATACACAGCTTCAGATGATATATGCAAGTATCAATTACAGGAAATGGAAGTGGTTTTTTCGTGTCTCAACCAAATATTCGACCAGATGTCATTAGCGGAATACCAATGGCGTCAATTGGAGATATTTTTGCTCGGAACGGTGCATTCATTACGAAAAATGGACCCCAAACTGAAAAGAGGAAGAAATCTCAGCTATAAAGGAGAAATATTTAGTTCATTTTACCATCTTTTAGTGTTTCTTCCAGCTGACTTGTTGTCTCATCGTTAAATTCTTTGTCATAAGCCTTGTTATTGTAAACTTGTGCAAGAGAATTGGATAAAACAGGTTCCATGAACGTTATGGTCTATATTAATAAGTTTTAGATGTAAAAGAAGTCAGCATGACATACTATTTTTCGTTCTGTTTTACTCTTATTTAGTCAACGAATGGTGTAAATAGAGAAAATGTGGAGTACATATGATAAGAAGAGATAGAAAATGAGGTGTTTGAAAGTTAAGAGTGGTGTAATTCTGAAGTTAAAGTAAAATGACACATCAGCGTTTTTTAACAGTAACAAACTTGATCAAGTCGCCTTATCAAATGGATACAATAAACCCATTTTTCTTTTCACTTCTTCAAATGTTCGGGATATAGCAATAATTGTGTGCACCATAATTCATAAAACCTTTAATTTAAAGAGTTTTTATTTTATATTCAGTGGTATACACCGTGCACATAGAAAGCGATTCGATGGTAAATAAACCATTCAAAAAGCATTAGAACTCTCCAGATCTTCAGGATATAACGAACTGTGTCTGTTAAGTACGATTATGGAATAGAATAAATTGGACAATGCATTTGCTCGATAGGTTTTTCAGACATCTGATAAAACAGTTAAATAATCTAGATGTCTGCCAATCTGTAAAAGTTTGTCGCCTCATATTGATACAATTATAATAATAAAGAATAATGATCTGGAAATTTTTCAAGATCATTGAACGAGAGAACCATCTCAGATGATTAAAAGCTCGGCTCACTAAACTAGTTTTTTAGGATAGTTTTTAAGGTAAATGTCCGTTTGTGCACTTTCGAGTTCGTTGAAAATCTGGTATTTGAAGATTCATCATTTTGATAAGAGTTCCAGAAAATCCAGAACCCTGGAAACTGCGTTTGATTGATGGTAAATCAAACAATATATGATTAAATTATACGCTTTACAAAAATACTGATATTTTGCAAAATCGGTAATGTCCTCTGAAATGTCAAAGGACAAAAATCTAATTTGTAAACGAAAATATACGAGTTTGTATGCTCTTTCCTGTTAGTATTATGCAAACGATTGAAAACTTGAGTAAGATCGGAAATTCCAACTCTTAGCCCCCTTCAAACGCTTACAGCCACAATCTGTGACCTCGCAGCGACCATGTTCTGCATGACTTTTGTAGGGGTTGCAGGAGATGCTTTTACGTATGTTTGGTATTACTATACGATGCGCACAACCAAATCTTCTCGGCTTTCATTCGTGTATAAAATAGATGGAACTCCTGACAGATTATCCTGTGTTCATAAATCACACATTTATGAAACTTTTTACAAGTTTCATAAAATTTTTCATTTTTATGTACTACTGGGTTAAAAAATTCAACATTCAAATTTCCTAAATTTAAGAAACTATACATACCACTATACATTTAAGTGTATGACTCTCACGTACAACGAGTTACACGCTTTTCGGAGGCACATCTGTTTTTTCTGCAAGTATTAATTAAAGATTTAAAACGCCTAGTCGCAAACAGCAAAAAATCTTTGGCTTTGCTGCAATTATTTTATCTTACGAGGAATGATTCCCAACTGATAAATCGCTTTTTCAACGAAACCGACTGGACTATAGGTAGTCGACGATGCTGATTCCGAATACCACCATGAATGCTGCCGCTAGGCCTTCAAAGACCGGTATTCTGGAAAACC